GGCAGAGACCTGGCGGGGCAGCCCCGCTGCAGGGGCGCGGCCTCCGCAGGGGCGGCGCCTGGTGGGCCCCACGCCTCTTCTCCCTTGGGAGCAGGGCACCCCGCTGACGGGTTTCTAGCTCCCGGAGCCGGGCCCGGCAGGTGGCTGTGCCCCGGGCGCACCTGCCTGTTCTGTGGGGGACCCGACGTGTGCGCTGCGGGCCGAGCCTGGCTGGGACTGTGCGCTGGGCGCCGGGCGGGAGCCAGGGGGCAGGGGCCGGCGCCCCGCGCGCCCGAGGCTGCCTGCCCAGAGGGCCTGGGCCTGCCTTGCTTTACAGCAAGAAGCGGAGGGTCCTGGAGTCCCTGATCGGGATGATTCAGAAGTTCCCTTACGATGACCCGACTTACGAGAAACTCCACGAAGACTTAGACCAGATCAGGGGGAAGTTTAAGCAGGTGCGTCCGGAGGGAGTTTCTCCCCGTGGGGAGCGGCCCGGGCCGCCGAGCGTGTCTGAGGGGGCGGGAGGCGCCCGGGCTGGAGGCCAGTCGGGTCGGGGACAGGGACGCCGCACGACGCGGGTTCTGAGCTGTGAGTCGGGAGCGACAGTTAAACCCCGTCTTCCTCCTCCTGTGTTTTCAGCTCTGCTCTTTGCTGAACGTCCAGCCGGACTTTAAAGTCTGCACGGGAGGCTCCGGGCTTTCATTCTGAGGGCGGCAGATGTCCGAGTGGCTGCACCTCCAGCTGCCCACAGCGGCCGAGGCGGCCCTCACTGCTCCCCGGGGAGCGTCCAGGTGGCGGCGACGGCCGCGTCCACTCCGGCCGGGGTCCCCTGGCCCCTCCCCGCCCGGTCCTGCTGAGGAGGCCTGCGGCGGGCAGCAGGAGCTGGTCGAGGGGCGCATGGGTCCGCTCTGGCTTTAAGGCCCCAGATGTCTGGAAACGGGGCTCCGAGCCCGGCCGCTGGCCCTGGCGCCATGCCAGGAAGAGGGTCCTGTTGGGGCACACTTGGCGGCTCCTCAGTGCGGGGCCGCCCACTCTTCCCATCCTGGGGGCTCCCTGGCGGGTCCGTCAGCTGCGAGCCTCGGCGGGGGTCTGTGCTGGTTTTCTCCGGTGGGTTTTGTATGTCCCGAGTCCCCTGCTGTGATGACGTGCTGTTTTTGACGAGGGTAAATAAACGAGCATCTTTCAAAGCAGGTGTCTGGAGCCCGCGCGCCCTGCTGCCCGCTCAGGCCCGAGCCCCTCTGCCTCGCCAGGCCCGGCCTCGGCAGGAGCGGCAGGCGGCCGGCCCGGCGGCCGCGGGGTCCCCAGGGTCGCCCGTGTCTGTCCTGGCCTCCTCAGGCCACGGTCCTGCGCTCAGCGCCCCGCGACCTCTTGGCCTCCGCCACCGCTGAAGCCCCCCGCCCCCGGTCATGCTCTGGGCCCGGCCTGGCGGCGGGGGGACACTTCCCTTGGGGAGAAGGCCACTCCCCGCCAGCGGACTTCCTGCTCGCGTTCTGAGCCTGAGCGAGGGGGGCGGGACTCGCTCCTGCTCCTCACACGGCCGACCTGCGCGGAGGCCCCGGAGGCCTTCTTCATGCGTCTCACGGTTTCCCGCCCCGACACCAGCCCGACGGGCGCCAGCCCAGTCCCTGTGCCCGCGGCCACTGTCCTGCGAGGGCGGCTGTCCCCGTGCTGGCGCCCCGTGGCCCGCGCCGTGGCTGGGCTGCTGGGGAGGCCCAGCCGCCGGCCCTAGGGGAGCAGCAGGCTTCGGCCGCCCCGGCCCTGACGTGGGGTTCACCGGGGTGACGGCCCTGTGGGGCCAGAGGCAGAGTGGGGTGTTCATCTCCCCTGGGGGCACGGGAGGGTGCCGGGAGCACTCTGGAGAAATGCTGGTTCCCCGTGAGCGCTGCTTGGCCTCCGCAGCGCAGCCGACCCGGCCCCGGGCCCCTCATGCGTGGCCACACCCAGGCCGGCCTGCAGCGGCGGCTGAGGGTCACCCGCCCCCGGCCAGGACGCAGGCCGGGACTCAGTGTGTGAGGCGGCGCCCGGGGCGGCCCCGCTGCCTTCTCACTGGCTCAAGCCAGAGGCCTGAGCCCTCCCCCAGGTGCGGCGAAGGGGGTGGCGACCCCCACACATCCCTCCACCCCAGCCGGGCTCAGGCCCCGCTGTGCACCCCAGCACCGCGCTCGCTCCCCACACGTGGCTCCTGCCCGAGCGTTGGGGGCAGCCGCTGCCTCAGTGGGCTGGCGCCCTGGAATAGTGGGGTGCTCGCTGAGCCTGTTCACTGGCCAGAGGCCCGGGGGTCGCTGGCAGACAGGGCCGGCTGGCGTCAGGCCTTCGGGCTGCAGGAACCCGGGCAAAGGCCAGCGAAGGAGCACAGCAGGGCTGCGCAGAGGTGGAGGTGGCCCTGGCCGGCCCAGGGCGTGGGGGCGGCAGCCCCCGGAGCTGCGGGAGGGGCCCGCCACCCCGCCTTGCGTAGCCACCTCTGGACCCTTCAGGGAGAGCCTCCGGCCCACGGTGATGGCTGGGCTGGACCCCGATGCGCGCCCTTCCTTGGGCTGCAGTGAGGCGGTGGCCTTTCCCGGGGTGTCCTCGGCCCGCAGGGGCGACTGCCCAGGAGCTGCTGTGGTCTCACGGCCTGGGCCGCCGGCCCTGCGCAGAGGCCGAGCTGAGTCGCCGGCTGACTCCGCAGCCCCGCCGGCGCAGGAAGCCCGTCTGGAAGAGGCCGACACAAGGACCCCGTGGCCGCCACCCTCTGAAAGCTGCTGACCGGAAGTGCTGCGCGAGGCCTGGCCTGCACAGCCGGGGTTGCCCCCAGACCAGAGGCCGACTTCGGGGCTGGTGTCCCCCGCGGTAGCCCTGGCTTCCGCAGAGACCCACGCCAGTCCCGGGAGTCCCGAGAAGAGGACATGCGGTCTTGTCCGGAAGACCCAGGAAATGTCTCCCCGAGTCTTGAAACTGCCCCTCTTCCTGGGGGCTGGGGGCGGTTGTCCTGCCCTGACAGGGCCCATCAGCGCCTGTCCTGTGCTTGGGAGGGGACTGCGGCACCCAGTCACAGAGCTGAGGCGTTTCCCAGGGCCGAGTCCGGGCCCATGGACGCAGGAGGGGCGCAGTGCTGTGTGAAGGCCTGCAGTGGGGTGAGGCAGGCCCACTCCCCACTGGCGGCTGCCACTGTCGGCTGTGAGCCCAGCACCAGGCCCAGAGCTCACGCGACCTCCCCAGGGGCCGGTCCAGGGCCAGGGCTGTGCCCGGCCTGCCCCGACGCCTCCCTGCCGCGCCTGCTGCGGGCCTGTGCGGCTCAGCTGGCCAGGGCGGCTGAGAGCCGCAGGCCTGTGCCTCCAGGACGCAGCCGATGTGGGCTCGCCTCCTCCGCGGGCGGGCTCTGCCAACCCCGGCCGAGCGCCCCGGCACTCTGCGCTGCCCTCTGAGGCCCCTGGCTGGGCGCCTGGCGCGTCCCCCGCCAGCCCTGCCCTGGCGACCTGGCCTCCTGGCGGGCAGCAGCTGGGCTCCGGCCCGCGGCCCTGCTCAGGCGGCGCCTCCCTCCCGCCAGAGGCTTTCAGCGGCTGCGGCAGCTTCACAGTGCACTAACCCTGCGCCCCCAGGGAGGCCCTCCAACAGAGCCCCCCCAGAATGTGGCCCACGGTGCCGCACCGGCCCCTGCCCGCACCACCCTGAGGGCTTGCTGAGGCTGGGGGAAACTGCCCGCGCCCGGCACGCCGCTCGGTGAGACTGCGCGGGCGTCCTGCCGGGAGCAAGGGCCCGCTGTGCTGGGGGTGCGGTCCGGAACCGGGGCTCAGCCCCGCTAAGCCGGCTGCTGTGAAGCCTGCTGAGTGGCTCGTCTCCGTTGCTAGCGGACCCCAGGGTCGTGGCTGCCCCTCTGGGGCTCCAGCACGGCGCTGCCCAGCACTCCTGGCAGCAGACAGTGCCTGCGTGTGGGCCTCCAGCCTCTCGGCCAGAGCTGCCCGCCCACCCTGCGTCGTCTGCTGGCCTGCGGGTGGGGCCTGGAGGCCCCCTCGGGGGCAGTCCTGATCAGAGGCCTCCTGGGTTGGCGGCCGGGTGCTGCAGAGGCCAGCCCAGCGGGCACCCTGCACAGTTGCCCGGCTGGCCCTGGGGACGGCCTGTAGCAGCCCCCCACAGGGGCCAGGCAGGCCATGCCAGCGAGGGGCTGGGCTGCAGCTGTGGCCCCCAGGGCGACTGCCACCCTCCTGGTCTCCAGCCTGGCTGACTGGCCTTAGCACACAGGATGGGTCCCAGGTCCCAGACTCCCCACTTCTCAGCAGTGAGGGTGGGAGGCTGGGGACGGGCGGAGAATGCTGTGGACACCTGCGGGGTGTCCTCCCGTCCCATGCAGGAGCTGTGGCTTTGAGAAGTCTGAGGGGGGCAAGGTCCCAGGACCTTGGGTGCTGGCGGGAGCGAGGTACCCAGGGCATCTGGGCAGGGCACTGGGAGGACAGGTGGGAGGTTGGCCCTCGGGTGAGGACAGGCCAAGGGGGCTGCCGCCCGACTCAGGCCAGCTCTGTTCCTGTGCAGACGGCAGCCTCGGGCACAGGGCGACGCCCGGCACCATGCTGGCCTGGTGGCAGGAGCTCCGGCCGGCCTTCTGATGGGGCCTCCAACCGGTCAGTGAACTGCCCTGACAGGTGCTGACTGGGGACCTGGCGCCGGTGGCTCCCAAGCACGCACCCAACTCCTGCTCACCTTGGGGAGCCCCTGGCCCCTCGGCCGCGAGCAAGGCCGCTCTCCCTTGCCAGTGCTTGGCACTGCTGCCTCCGAGCAGGACGGGGCTGGACTCGAGCATCTGAAGCCGGGGCGCCCCAGGCCTCCAGGTGCCAGGACAGGGCCCGAGCCTCCGCTCTGCCACCCTGTAGCCCAGGGCGCCCTGGGAACTGCGTCGCCAAGGGCCGCATGAGCCGCGCCGGCTCGGGGAGGGAAGCCGAGGTCACGTCTCGGCCGGGTCGCCAGGCGCCCGCCCGCGGGGGCTGCTGCAGACCCCCCCGGGGACCCCGGCCCCCACCCCCCAGCCCGTGGCGACACACACAGGCAGTGCCCTGGGGTTTTACCAATTTTATTTCTAGACTCTTCACGTTTGTCTTTTGTCTTCTGCTGGAAATGTGCCGATTACATGTCTGTGCTGGGAACCGCGGTGGGCGCCCCCGACCGCTGCCCAGACCCCGCCCGGCTGAGCTCGCGCGGCGGCCGGGGCCCCGCTGGGATGGGCAGAGGCCGCGGCCGGGGGCTGAGGTAAGCGGGCGGAGGCCGCGTCCGGCCGCACGGTCAGTCTCTACGCGAGCAGGACGCGCCTCAACAGACCCGCGGACACACGGGCGCCGCCGGGCGGCAGGGAAGCGTGAGGTATCGTGGAACAGGAGCCTTTTTGGGATAGAGCAGTAATCACACGGAGTCAGAATCGATCACATACAAAACTACAAAAAAGGCATCTGGCGTACAATTCTCTACGAGAAACAAAACGAGAACACGGCAGTAAATGACGCTGTAGAAAACCAAACTGATCCTCCAATAGCAGCAAAACAATGTGAGAGACAGAAGCGGCCCCGCGCCCGGCACAGGAGCGCAAGGGTGCGCGCGCACGCTCGCGAGGGGCGCGGGCGCGTCGGGCTGGACCTGCGGGGCCGGCAGCCTCTGGGACCGAGTTGCTGGGCCGCGCAGCAGCAGGCCGTGTGTGAGTGAGTGAGAGTGGGTGAGAGAGTGAGAGTGTGTGTGTGTGAGTGTGAGATTTCCTTCTACAAAGGGCCCATCTTTTTTTGTCACCTGGACCAAACCTGCAACATCCTAGCGGAAAGGGTGTGAGTGTGAGTGAGTGTGTGTGAGTGTGAGTGTGTGAGAGAGAGTCGGGGGAGATTGCATCACTTTATAAATCATACTGGCCTTATGAACATCCTCTGCAATAAATATTCTTTTTTGCCTTACCTATAAATTATATATTTTAGTGTTTAAAAACCTTCCACTTGCAAAACCTCTAAAGAAAACCCTGAAACTATGCCTTTTCTGGGTAAACCTTCCAGGCCCCGACCTTCAACCTTCTAACACCAGCCGGCACCAAAGGGATCCTGCCTCTCAGCTGTCTGCAGGACTGGAAGAAGACTCCGTCCTGGACCGTCCGCAGCCCTCAGGACCCCCCCACCGCTCGGGCACCCCGACTGCCCGGGTCCCCGCGTGTTCCCCAGCCACCCCGCCGGCAAACCGCCCCTCTACACACGGCGGACAGAGGCCGCCTCTCCCCACGGACCGAAAGTGCTTTGCAGTGGAACGCTTCCAGAGTGGGACAGAAAAGACGCGAGAGGAGCTGTGGATTGCACGGACGGGGCGGCCGCTTCTGGGGGTGAAACCAGGGAGCTACAAAAACAGGGAGATTACAAAAATAGAATATATCACGGCGCCCGGGCCGCTCCTCTGGGAGCGGCGAGCGCCCCGCAGCCGCTCCGCTGGGGGGGCAGGGCAGGC